TCAATTTAAATTTAAATAAGAGATGGAATATTATTTATAGATGTTTCCTAAAATATGTTTAATTATTTAGGAAGATTTCCTAAAATATGTTTAATTGTTTAGGAAAATATGTTTAGGGGGGCGGAGGGGTTATTTGTTATTAATACAATTGTAGGGGGCAGCCAACCCAACCATCCATATGGGCATAACCTGGAGCAAAAAATAGAAAAATTCGGCCCCCCTTTGTGGGGGCCAGCAAAATTGTGATTCATTATATTATGAGGAATAATAAGGGAATTATTAGGAAAAAATTTTCAATTTAAATTTAAATAAGAGATGGAATATTATTTAGGGATGTTTCCTAAAAATATTTTTAATTGTTTAGGAAGATTTTCTAAATTATGTTTAATTGTTTAAGAAGGTTTTCAAAATTATGTGTAATTGTTTAGGAAGGTTTCATAAATCATGTTTAATTGTTTAGAAATGTTTCCTAAATTATGTTTGATTGTTTAGGAAGATTCTATTTATGAATTAATATTCTAGGGCTATTTAAGGGGGATTTGTCTAGGGTTTAGAGAATTTTATTGCTGAGTTTTATGGTTTGCTGTAATTCTTTTCATTGAGGGCTTCCTAGCAAATTTGAAGAAAACTTTAGCTTACAAAAGGCATTAATACAATTGTATGGGGCGGCCAACCCAACCATCCTAATGGGCATAACCTGGAGCAAAAAATAGAAAAATTTGGCCCCCCCTTTTGGGGCCAGTAAAATTGTGATTCATTATGTTAGGAGGAATAATGAGGAAATTATTAGGAAAAATTTTTCAATTTAAATTTAAATAAGAGATGGAATATTATTTAGGGATGTTTCCTAAAATACGTTTAATTATTTAGGAAGATTTTCTAAATTATGTTTAATTGTTTAAGAAGGTTTCCAAAATTATGTGTAATTGTTTAGGAAGGTTTCATAAATCATGTTTAATTGTTTAGGAATGTTTCCTAAATTATGTTTGATTGTTTAGGAAGATTCGATTTATGAGTTAATGTTCTAGGGCTATTTAAGGGGGATTTGTCTAGGGTTTAGAGAATGTTATTGCTGAGTTTTGTGATTTGCTGTAATTCTTTTCTTTGAGGCCTTCCTAGCAAATTTGAAGAAAACTTTAGCTTACAAAAGGCATTAATACAATTGTAGGGGGCGGCCAACCCAACCATCCGAATGGGCATAACCTGGAGCAAAAAATAGAAAAATTCGGCCCCCCTTTGTGGGGCCCAGCAAAATTATGATTCATTATGTTAGGAGGACTAATGAGGGAATTATTAGCAAAAAAATTTCAAATTAAATTTAAATAAGAGAGGGAATATTATTTAGGGATGTTTCCTAAAATATGTTTAATTGTTTAGGAAGATTTTCTAAATTATGTTTAATTGTTTAAGAAGGTTTCTTAAATTATGTGTAATTGTTTAGGAAGGTTTTATAAATCATGTTTAATTGTTTAGGAAAGTTTCCTAAATTATGTTTGATTGTTTAAGAATATTCGATTTATGATTTTATGTTTTAGGCTATGATGCATGGACACGGACACGGTGACACGGACACGACACGACACGGGACACGGCTTTTTTTGAAAATATAGGACACGGGTACGGCGCGGACACGGCAATACATTTTTTATATAGTGTATATATATTAATGTAATACCATATTAAAAATGACAAATAATAATAAATGAATGACATGATAACTTTTCTAGCTTATAATATAAAATATTTAGTACAAAATGTCTAGTTAACAACCACAAAAATATAAGCAAATAATCACTTACTACAACATCAAGCATTCAAGCTTCAACTACTAGGATTAGCTTTAGAGGTTTGCTTTTGGCATTTAATATCATCATCATTGAATATCACTGTTTTCAACTCTGGTTCAACAAGAAAAGATTTGTAATTGTGCAAAAAGAGAGGAGATGTAAATACCTTCACTACCAAAGAGAAATAAAAATGAGAATATTCGATGAAGGGTATTAAATGCAGACGTTGATTTGGTGTTGTAGATAGAAAATAAAAAATTTAGTTTAAATCTCGCTAAAATAAGAAATTATATTTTAAAAAATTATAAAATATTTACACGCGTGTCCAATTTGTTTTTAATATTTTTTAATCGGACACGTTTTCGGGGTGTCCGACACGTGTCGGAGTGTCGGACGAGTGTCGTGTCGGACACGGTGTCGGACACTGCACGCCTTTTTGAGGAGAAGTGTCGGTGCATCATAGATTTTAGGGCTATTTAAGGGTGATTTGTCTAGGGTTTAGAGAATGTTATTGCTGAGTTTTGTGTTTTGCTGTAATTCTTTTCTTTGAGGGCTTCCTAGCAAATTTGAAGAAAACTTTAGCTTACAAAAGGCATTATAGATTTTGATCCTCAACATGGTGAGAAAATATATGATCATAGTGTTGTCAGATTTTCTAATACCAATTACAATGGTGATCATGACAAGAGGATATCTTGGAATGAGTATGTATTTAGTCTCTTTGGGAGTGTCATCAATCGAAAGGCTTGTCTTACAGTTACTTTGTGCACTACAAAGGCAAAATATATGGCACTTAAATAAAGCACTTTTAAAATATTTTAGCTTAAAGGTTTGGTTAAATATTAGGTTTATAATAAGAAATAGTGATTTTTTGTGAAAGTCAGAATGTTATTTATTCAGTTAGCTTGAGACCAAATATATCCTGAAAAGATCAAGTATATTGATGTTCAATACCACTTCTGCATAAAACACAATCCTATTGACTAGCTTACCAAGGTACTCTATGTTCACAAGTTAAAGAAATGTTAGCAACTGATTGATTTGAGTAGTTGTTAATGCCTTTCGAGGCTTTGGGCAAGGAGGTGCTTAGGTAGTTTGGCAATGACTTATTTATCCATTTTGTTCTTTGATAATATGGACGACTTGTTAAACAGACACATTTGTAATTCATTCTCTTGACCCACTTAAACTTTTTGCATCCTCCATTCACTTAGAGCATCAAGGACTTCTCTCATAAGGGTTATGTTTGGCAATTTCTCCTCAAGTTTGTTGATAGGTCTACCACATGAGAGGGAGGCACAATCGCACAAAAAAGAACTTAAGACGGCTAGAGGAAGAAGTGAGGTTTCATGTGATCATCTCGATGTCACAAAAATAGAGAGGCGAAGAGGGTTGCGACTTTCTTGTTGTGATTGTCAGAGAGAGGAGGGATAGGGAGGATCAAGCGTGGTAGTTTTCTCTTGTTAAGGATTGGTTGTTTTTGCTTCTTTAGACTGGAGATTTGGTAAGAGAGGAATTAATCTATAATTTCCTTGACTTTCTTTAGTTAGAAGCTCTTCCAAAAATTAACTAAATATTATCAGCTCTTCTCCTTATTAGTTTTTTATGAATATAATTTGATATATCTTTGTGACTTTTCTTATTTTATCCTTCATAAATTTTGATTGTGAATCATTGTGCCCCCATACCCTATGGGTGTAGGTCATTATTGATGAAATTACATAAATACTAGTGTAAATGCTATGTAAATGCTATGGTGTAGTTCATTCTTGATCAAACTATGGAAAAACTAGCATTCTTATCTATGTCCTTTTTTTATTATTCTATAGCATAATTGTGTGTGCTCCTAATTTTGTTTCTCAAAATTTGATAGTGCTCTCTTTAGTTCTCTAGAATATAGTGATTTGCATCCTCTACTTCAATAGTTTTCTAAGAGGTTAAAAAAAAGCATTTTGTAAATTAGAAGTGAAGTGCAAGAAAATATATACCATGTGACTTATGTAATCCTCATCCTTATGCCTAGTGTGGATAATAAAAAGTTGACACTAAACTTGTGAGCTTCTACAAGATTTTTAAAAATATTGGAGTTGTTGAAACTTAAAAGTCCAAATTATAAAGAAAGGAAATTTTAATACAAAGCTTTTCTCATAAAAAATAAAAGAGGATATGACCCACAAACAGCCAAATTGACGTTAAAATATCAATTGCAAAAAAAAATTATACACTATGTGAGTAGAAATTACCTCATTGATTATAAATGCCCTTCCATCTCTAACAATGTATTGAACATCCCGACGGTAAAACTCTTTGGCTTTCAAAGCATTCATTAAAAACCTGTAAAAAGAAGTTACTTTATATACGAAACAATAACTAATTAAAACAGACTTTTTCCTTGGCGGACACCAACTAATACAAAAGATGAAGTTATGTTTAGATACTAAACTCAACTATTTCTTTTATTCAAGCAACAAATAGACAAGTTGTAATGGATTTATTTTTCAACACAAATGATCATCATTAAGTTTCTCCTTGTCATTGTTTACATAGAAGTTGCATGCACTAACAAACAGATATATGTTCTAATCAACCATAGCATATTGGTCTCAAGCAGGACGGTTGGACCACTTCCTAGCATTTTATATCTTGAACTCAAAATGTGCACTAATGTGGCAAACTCGAGCCAGATATGCAACACAAGTTGGAAACTCATAGTAAAAGTCCAAAACACTTCAACTTCAGGATCAGATGCTTCATGATAAAATGAATATGTTTCACGTATTCAACTTGGTGAGAGGAGATTGGTTTTCAGTACGAGTGCAAAGTGATGAGGACATCAGAAGATCAATGATCTACGGTCACGATCTACTTTTGATTATTATTGTATTTGATGTATTTTGTTTTATGTTTTATGAGTCTATTGTATTCTTTCCGTTTATGCCCTTGCTTAAGGGCCTCATCATGTGTTTTCCTTAGGGGCAATTGTGTCTTTGCATTTTCTTTATTCCGTTGGCTATTTAAAGCCTTCCCCTCTTCATGTAAGGATGATGAATTATTGATAATAAAAATTTTATGTTCTTGTTGATCTCTTAGTGAGTTCATGTGAGGGAGAGGCCCAAGAGGGGCAAAAGCAATACCCGTCAATCTTGGTGGATTCCAAGGTTCGTGGTTCTCTTATCTTTATTTTTCTTTTATTTTTCTTGCGTCGAATTCCCTCCCCAAACTTCTACTCGCCGGCTGGCCATCCCCATCCTCCCCCAAACCCGACGGATTCAACCCTACTCCCCACCGACGGCCTCACCACCCTCAAACTTCTTTTCCCTAACCCGAGCCCTCCCTTTTGCCGCCGACCTCCTTGGGCCGCCCAAGCCGCCAGCTTCCTTCAACCCAACTGCCGGCCACCCTTCCCCACTCTTCCCCCATAGCTCCTGCTTCATCCACCGACCCCCATGCAAATTTTCCCTCAAAACTTAATTTCAATTTCACCATAAAACCTTTCCAAATTGGGGCCCAATAATTTAGGAGTTTGTTTAAATTCAAAATTTGAATTTCAAATTACCTCTTAAATGACCCTCCATTAAAAAAAATGGGAGACTTCCTAATTAGTCTAAATCTGAAATCAATTTTAGATTTAAACCTTTCATTCCCTTTAATTGTGCGGGCCCCCCTCATTAATACCAAACCCCCTCCCTCCCACTCTCTTTGGCCGGCCACCTTAACCCCCTCTCCCCTATTAATTAGATCCCATAAATTTAAGATCTAATTAATCCAATTCCCCCTCTTTTTCCCCCCTAATTCCCACTTGTTTCAAATTCAAATTTCAATGAACTTAATCTCTAATTACCCACTAAATCTGAACTTATTTTCAGATTTTTCCTTCCTCTCTTCCTCTCCTTGGCCTATCCGAACCTACCCGACCCCTTCCAGAAAACTGTGTGAGATTGTCCAAGGCATCCCGTAGTGCATAGTTGCTATCCGACCCTCCCAGGATTCTGTTAACTGCTGGCTAGCAGATTCCTATGCTCCCACACCTGTTATCCAGCCCCGGAACTCCCCCTATCGCTGTCCAGAATTTTTCCATAGCAAAATTCCTTACTTTCCAGCATCCAGGAAGGCCACAACTTGCTGTCCATAGTCACCGGCAGCCAAGGAGCTGGCTGAAACTCATCTACACCTTATTGGATGCTGTGGAGGATCTGTCCACAACAACACCGCTGTTGTCCTGAAGTTCTGCACTTCTTCCCGGGTGTTCCTTAGTGCGAGAAGGTTCGTGGTTACTGTCCACTTCGTTCCCAGCTTTCAAACAACCTTGCCGGAGTGCGTATCTCTCTTGTCTTTGGGTAAACTCGACACCCAACTCTCTATGTTCATAGTTGCATCCTTGAATGTGAATTTATCATCTCCGCTAAAACCTAGTAATTGGAAGAATTGTGTGAAGGATCTTCTTGTAGCGACTAATCTCATTGTTAGTTTAGGGATTATCGTTGAAAATCAACCACGAACGCAATGTTAGATTAATTGATTGTTTTACTATCTTAACTCCTATGCATGTGATTTAGCCTAAGCTTGTCTTACCGCTCTTTGTGTTTTCTTTTGTCGTTAGAAAGTTCATTGTGAAGATATGATTATTGTGGCTTCTAACACTTAAGTGTGCAAACTCTTCAAGTAATTCAACTTTGCATGTACTGTATTACATCACAAAGGATATCAAAAACATGAATATATTTCAGCTAAGAAGTTGCATAAACCTGGCCCATGGATCATTTTCATCCCACAGATCATTAGTCTCAAGAACCATTTCAGCAAGCGCAACCCCTTCCTCAGTCAAATCAACTGAATTATCTTTCAGTTCCACATTATAATGCTGCAAATAAAGTCATTTCCTTATCACAATACATGCAGCAAAGAGATCAAAACCACGATAGTCAAAAGAAATGAAATTCAATTTTGTAGTAAGTATTAGAGCACAAAATTCATCTGATTAAAGATAAAAATACAGTGACTCACAATTCCCTGTACAAGAAGCTCAGCAACTTTGGCGGCAACAGGGTAACGCTCAGCATCCTTACTTGCCTATTCATTCAGATCAATCAACATTGAAACTGAAATGTCAAACGAAAAAGCTGTGATACAAATTTACAGAAAAACACCTCTCCACTTATCAATAATGGATTCCTCCCCTCATCAATGAGGACTGAATCAACTTCATCAACAATGGCAAAATGAAATGGCTTTGGCCTGTTTTCAATGTTTTAAGTTAGTTTAGTCTTCAAACATCAAGGAAGGAACTCATAATACACGTAAAATTACCATCGCATTACAAGTTTCGCTCTATTTCCAGACAGATTGTCTCGGAGGTAATCAAAACCAAGTTCCTGCACAAATAAATTAAGATTGGTTTTGTATTATCCAAACCGAACCCCATACAAGTACTAAAAAAAAAACTCATCTAAATCAGCCCAAAAAATGTAATGAAAACGTTATTGGTGTCTTAAACTGAATAGGCTACACTGAACAGGTAGACATAGATGGATCAAGTTACTACCAAGAGCCTTATTCAGTTATTTGAAAGGGAAAAGCTATCCTATGATAATAATTTCTGCTTCAAAAGGTGTTAGAGATTCTATAAAAGAAGAGTTATTTAACTTAAATAACAAGGTATAACCAACAGCCTCCACCTATGCCCGAAGTAACATGAGCTCCAACATATTCACATAAGATAGGGTCATAAAGAAAAGCTAGCAGCAACCGAAGTATCAAGAAAACAAGACAAAAATAAGCCCACATCATGGATTATCTCCAGAGAAAACGAGGTGTAACAATCATGAATATTTAGTGTTGTAAACTTACCGAATTATTACTATACGTTATGTCACAACTATAGCTCGATCTTCTCTCTGTAGCAGTCATGCCACTCTACAAGTTTAAAAAGTATAAGGGCAGGCAAAACATTTATATTTTTTTTCTGCCAGCAATATCAAATTCAATAGTTGAAAGCACACCTGAATGAGGCCAACGGAAAGACCTAGAAATCTATGAATGCGGCCCATCCATTCAGCATCACGCTGAGCCAAGTAATCATTTACAGTCACCACTGAAAAACAAATATTGGAGTGGAATCAGATGTACCAAATGAAGAAAAACAAATAGCAATTAACTAACAAGTCATCGGACAATCAATGATGTTGAATTGTATTGCATTGTAGAAAAAAAAATCCTAACTTCCCTCTCGAAGAGAAGGATAATTTGTCATACAGATACAAAGTGTTTTTCATGTTCTAGAAGCCATGGAGGAGATGGAAGTGCAATATAAAACTTCCCTTTTCACTTCCAAACAAATCAAAATTTTCAGATGATATTTTTTTATGAACAAAGCAATGAAAAGCATTCCCAAATGAAGCCTAAGCTCCGAAGAATGACCAAACTTGCACCTTTGCAACACATCTCACCACATTACATCATCAAAATGCTTAATGGTTTTGCTTCCGCAAAGTACTTCTTTTTGTCAGTATTCATGCATTTCAGATGCAACAGTAAGAAAAATCATCCATAAAAAACAATTCAAAGGAAGATACCGTGAACTCCATGGCCAGTAAGAGCATTCAGATAAGCTGCTAATGTCGAAACCAAAGTCTTTCCTTCCCCAGTCTTCATCTCAGCAATGCATCCATCATGAAGCACCGCACCACCGATGATCTAAAATCAATATTTCACTATAGTCCACCTTCATCTATCCATAAACCAAGAAGATTTTAAGTACCAAAGAGAGTCAAAACACCTGGACATCAAAATGCCGCATACCAAGCTTCCTTCTTGCGGCCTCCCGAACCACAGCAAATGCCTCTAATGGAGATAGAAACGTTAGGTAAAACAAACACGGGCTCTTTGTATATGACCATGTGAAAATGGAGAGAAGTATCTAAAAAAAACCAGCTTGAATATCAGCAAGGTTTTCCCCTTTGCTCAATCGAAGGCGAAATTCCACAGTCTTTGCTCTCAACTACCAAAAAAAAAAGCCAGAAAATATATAAAAACAATAAAAAGTACTACATGTTTTGCCTAAACTCTTTGATCTTGATAGCATAAAGAGATGCCGCAAACCTGTTCATCTGAAAGCACGAGGATACGAGGCTCTAGGGCGTTCACGGAGCTGACAAGCCGGTAATAATCACGCACAACCCAACTGTTAAGGTTCAAGAGATCCCTCAAACTTATGTTCGTGGCTTGCCCCAAACTCTCCTGAAATCGGGACATGTAAACAAAGGATAAAGAAACAACTTACATGCATCCAACTGGGAGACAGCATAAGTATAAAAAAAAACTCACCTTTACGCAATCGATAACGGCTTTTGACGAAGGGGCAGGAGAAGAATAGGAAGACAAGGCGCGGGGAAGAGAGGTAGTAAAGAACCGGGTACTGCCTAGCGGCGTAATGGGTAGAGTGGCACTGGTGGCTGGAAAAGGAGAAGAGCCTTGCGAAGTTTTAGAGGCAAGGGAGATAGATGGGACACAGAGTGAGATGACAGGGAAAGCATTGGCCATGTGAGTGGGTTCCGTTTCTTGGTCTTAGCAGAATTATTTGCAGCAACAGAGCTCGAAGGGCTCCGGCCCTTCTTATCCGGTAAACCTTCCGCTGGTGAAGAAGGCGGCGAATGGCACAGAGAAGGTGAACGAGCAATGGCCAGGTCAGGTCCTTCTGGCTTTGGGAGGGCAAATTATTGGGTCAGGTGACCAAACGTAGAGATAGGTCCGAATATTAATAAAATATTATTTTAAAATTAGCGCAACTAAAGCGCAAGTCAAAAAGTGCAACCAAAGCGCAACTAAAGCGCAAGTCAAAAAACGCAACTAAAGCGCAAGGTGACGCGGCAAATTTTTATTGGATGTCCGAACTTATTTTCCGCCTCCGATCACCTGACCCAATAATTTGCCGAATGGGAGAGGCGGGAGGAAGAGTTCACACTCGAAATTATTAGTTCCGGTCAGCTGTATCACTGTCTGTGTCTACAGTAAAAAATACAGTCAAATTATAATTATTATAACAATTAATAATTGTGCTTTAACTATTCTTTTACTATAGACAGAGAAAAATCCAAATGTATCTCTCTGTCAGATGACCGGGCCTAATAATGCCGAGTTCACACAGCCACAAACCTCTGATTTTTTGTTCGAAATGATAATATATTGTGCAAAGGCGACTATCGAATCAAAATTACAATAAAGTTTATGGTCGGTTCAAGAAATTAATATTCATCCTTATGCAATAAATAGTTAAATTTATTATTTTGCACGATATTGATTCATAATTTATTAATTTTATTATTATTTATTTATGATTATGGTTTTTTTGGATGACTTTTTTACTATTTCTTAAAATTATTATTTGGTAAAAAATTAAGATTTTTTAATCAGAAAAATATTTTAAGAAGCAAGAAAAAAACGGTCTCAAATGAAGCTTATATCACACATGATGATATGCAAGAGCAATTAAAAATATATTTTAATAGTATATTTAATGAATTAAGAAATTTAAGGATGAAAAATTAGGGTTAATCTAAATAAGCTTTTCTTGATGAATTAAAAGTTGTCCCTCTTTCAGTCTAACCTAGTTGTGATTTTTTCAAATAGTTTTTTTTATGAACTTCACTATATTTTTCTAAAATTAACTAACTGAGTGAATGAAGTTAGTGAGAATGAAGAGTATGTAAAACGCTATCATAGTTTGAAGTCCAAAATCTAACTCTTCACTTTTTACTTATAGGATTAAGAGGCTACAAGAAAGAGTAGGCTTATAATAAATAAAAATAAAAAGTACATGATATGATCAATATAGACTGACACAAACACATGAACTAGTTAGATGATTAGCATGTGGACCCCTATCCATGGCTTGACCCCCTCATCACAAGTGAGTACCTTGGGAAAATATTTGAGGATGTATACTTTCAACAAGTCATGAGACCAAATATGCTGGACAAAATTATGAAGGTGGGTCCCTATGAGTGTAAGTGATTGTGAGTTAATGATGTGTCTAATTAGTGGATTTATGGTCATAGGCCTCATAGATGTATGCTTCCTGTAGCTTAATCATGCATATCTATAATAGGTAAGTGGCCTTGATTGTGAATAACTTTTACAAGAGAAGGGGTTATAGTGGGGCAAGATGTAATACCCACTTGTACAAAATTAGAATAATTGTTGACATGATTAGAACCTAATAAGAATTTTAAGTACGATTGGTTTTATTAACATTTGAATGATTGAAAAATAAACTTAGAAATTGAATTTAGAAAAAAAAAATAATAAGAATATGATTGCCCTTGAGGCACTGCACAATTGCGACACTAAGCTCTATGTATAATAAAACAAATTTTAAGGTTCTTGGGAGCACTACAGTGTTGACCATGCGAAGTTGTGGTGATATCTTTTCAGTTTGGTGAATAACTCTTGAGAATGTTGTAGTGCTAAGGGATGGGTGATGTAGCACTAAGGTCTCTAATTAAGTAGAAATTATTACGTGCATAGTCTAGATGTAGCTCAGTGTTTGCACTCTAATGAAATCATGACACGGGGATTAGACACGTGGTTATTTAATATATATTAATTATTTTATTTTTCTATTGAGAGCCTGACCGACCCAGCACGGTCCAGAGGTGAAAATTTTGAATTCATTAGAGATCAAAATTTGTGAAGTCAGATCACTTTTCATCTTTGGTATTAGAGTCGGTTCATTGTTCACTTTTCATCTTCGACATTGCATATGGCTCATTGTTCATTGGCATTCGGGTGTTATGTTAACTCTTTAAGTTCATCATCTCCAACAAAGTTAGTCTATCATTCTCGTTCAGTTCATCTTCAAATAGATACTTCTTTAGCTTTTCTCTTATATAGGTTTTAGGGTTTACATTTATAGTTTTTAGGGTTTATGATATTTTCTTGTCGCTTTTTTGCTACTGTTGTGACACGCCTTGTTTAACAAATAAAAGTGTCGTGACCCACTTTATTTAACAAACATAAGGCCATTTTTCACACTGTTTAAAAAATGAAAAGGATAGTCAGTTTGACGTACATGATTGGACACTTGCGGTATTGCAAATGGGTAAATGCAAACCTTCATGTAAAAATTTAAGCAGATGAGATTTTACAGTGTGTATTGATTGTGTATTAGTTGTGTATAAAGTGTGTATCGAGTTAGGTTGCACATATTTCATACATTGTCTATGAATTATTTTTTTTCATTTTTGTGATTCTATTTTGAACTTGTACTAGCTATGTATTAACTTTGTATTAATTGTATATTAACTGGGTATTGACTATGTATATGTTGTGTATCAATTGTATATCGACTTTGCATTCTATTTTTTAAATTAGGTTGTGCATATTTTAAATATCTATGAGTTATTTTTAATTATTTTGTGACTCTTTTTTGAACTTATATTAACTGTGTATTGACTTGGCATTAACTATGTATTAATTATATACTAACTGTATATTGATTGTGTATTGACTGTGTATCAATTATGTATCGACTGTGTATCAATTATGTATCGACTGTGTATCTATTTGTATTTCATTTCCTAAATTAGATTGCACAGATTTTAAATGTGTGAGAGTTATTTTTTATTCATTTTGTGAATCTATTTTGAACTTAGTATTAATTATATATTAAATGTGTATTAATTGGATATTAATTATGCATTAACTATGCAATAATTATATATAATTATGTATCGACTTTGTATTCCATTTTTAATTTAGATTGCATATATTTTAAATGTTTATGAGTTATTTTTATTCATTTTATCACTTTTTTGAACTTATATTAATGGTGTATTGACTTAGCATTAACTGGGTATTAATTGTGTATTCACTATGTATTGCTTATGTATCAACTGTGTATTAACTATGTATCAACTTCATATTTCATTTTCTAAATTAAGTTGTTTAGATTTCAAATATCTACAAGTTATATTGGTTCATTTTGTGACATTTTTTTTTAACATGTATTGACTTGTATTGATAGTGTATCTACTTTGTAATTCATTTTTAAAATTTGGTTGCACAAACTTTAAATGTTTATAAGTTATTTTTATTTATTTTGTTACTTTTTTAAAACATGTATTTACATTGTATTGACTCGATATTAATTGTGTATTCAATGTATATTGATTATGTATCAACTATGTATCGATTGTATATCAACTGTATATCGATTGTGTATCAACTTTGTATTCCATTTTCTAAATTAAGTTGAACAAATTTCAAATGTCTATGAGTTATTTTCTTCATTATGTTACTATTTTTAAACTTGTATTAATAGTGTATTGACTTGAAATTAATTATATATTAATTGTATATTGACTGTGTATCGACTTTGTATTCTATTTAATAAATTAGATTACATAGATTTTAAATATCTATAAATTATTTTTATTCATTTTGTGACTCTTTTTTTAACTTATAGTGACTGTGTATTGACTTGGTATTAACTATGTATTAATCGTGTATTAATTATGTATCGACTGTATATTTACTATATATTAACTATGTATTAACTATATTTTACATTTTAATTAGGATTTTAAATTATGAATTTTTTGTGATGTTTGTAGATGTATTTTTAAAAGATTACTTAATGTTTTAGACCATTAACTTTAGAACTATATGAGACTCGTTCGTCAAGATGTTAAACAAAGATGTCGAGGACACCTTAAAGAAATTAAATATATATCAATTTCTGAAGTTCCTATCATTCCAGCAGAATGTTACCATGATATACGAGATACTCTCATTATTGAATATTCCTCATCAATGCTTTATCATCAAGAGTCATGAGCTATGATTCAGCTCAGATGAAGTGGTCTTTCTTACAGGATTACCAAGTATATATGTTGATATTATATGAGAAAGCGAGTGTAGGGACCATAAGGGATTTTTTAGTTTCTAAGGTTAATAGGGTGGCTAGGAATTTTGCTAAGGAGAGCCTATTGGGTTATATAAATAGTTTTATACCTTTGCTAATTATGTGTGCTGAGAGCATCTAAGTATCTTTTTAATTATTAATTCATTTTATGAATTTATTAGCTAATATTATATTTTATCATATACAAATTTGATTTGTGGAGCACACTTCAATAAATGCCCCAAGGAACCCTGACTAAAGAACCCATTTCCTTCAGTGTGTTAATATATATTTACGTTATCCTACCAAATAAGTCTCCAATTTATTTGAGGAGAAAAGGGATAGACAAGTATGCATAGATATTTATTCTAGAGCACATTTCAATTAATGCCCCTAAGATTTGAGATTTGGTAACAATAAGCTAATTTTTGTGCAAATTGTTTATTTCCTCCATGGAGTAATTCAGGATGAAGTGGACCTCATACTAAATGACTAATTTGTCATGCAAACCTTCCAAGCACCAAAGCCCCCTCATTCTCCTCAGCAAATCCCCTCTCCAACAACAACAACAACAACATCAAGCCTTTATCCCACTACGTGGGGTCGGCTACATGAATCCTTTTTCTCCATTGTGTCCTATTAAAAGTCAAATTCTCGTTTAAATCTAATAAAGAAAGGTCATTCCTAATATTTTCTAACCAAGTCTTTTTAGGTCTACCCCTACCTTTCTTAACATAAGTCAAATCTAATACCTCTACTCTCCTAACCGGGTCATCG